CAGGTGTGAGAGAGGGTGCTATGGGATGCCAGCTATGCAAGTCACCTGCTCTGGCAAATCACAAGTGAAAGTTGTAGTGGTTTCATCCAGATGCCTTTTGCCAGTGTCAGAGCCCTTTTTCTGGGGACAGAATTGGAGAATAGCTGGTGGTGGCCAGCAGCCCTTCCTCTGGAGGCCCCTGATGCCCAGGTGCTGCAGCTGGGGCCAGAGGCATGTTGGCAGAGTGGCATCGTGCCCCTGGGGTGCTGGGCTGAAGAAGGCAGGGACACACTCTGCCAGCCTCCAGGTGTGCAGGTGGGCACCAGAGGGGAGCTCCATGCTGGAGCAATGGGACAAGGGCCCACTGGGAGGGACCTGACATCCATCCCGAGAGCTGTGTGACCACTGGGATCAGGAGGTGGTGTGCATCTGATTGCCAGCACTGTGGCTGGGAGCACCAGGCCAGCTCTGAAATCCTTTGGCAGATCTGTGTGAGGAGCTGTGCTTAAGAGCCACAAGACTGAATCATTTCCCAGAAATCCTCTGTCAGTCTAACCATAAACACCAGGGAGAGTGGAAGTGGGGAGACGTGTTTCTTCAATTTCCTACAACAAAGCAAGCGTAAAAGGGGATTAGGAAGGCAATGCTGGGGGGAAAGAGAGAGAGATTTAGAAGGGAAGGGAACATTAAGATTGAGAGGGATAAAATGCAGATTGAAGTTGTTGGGCTAGAACAGAAGAACTTCTCAGTCTATATATTTAGCTCAGTGAGGTATATAAACAGAAACCTACAGCCAGCTCAGCCACTTCTCCCCCAGTGGAGTGAGTCATCAGCCCTTGGATCTAAAGTTAGGTTCACGTCAGAGCTTACTCTCTCTCTCATTTTATTTTTCTCTTTCTATTTTGAAGGGTGTGGGAAAAGCTGAGCACCATCTCCTGGAAGCAGCAAACATAAACCCACAACGGCAACAGATGCCAGACCTGATGCCCTACCTGGGAGCACTGTGAAAAAGCCTGCTTTGTGTCTGGCTGCTCCGCTTCCTTGCTGCGTGCCTGGGGATGAGCTCAGCCGATGTGTATCTACCTGGCACATCTCTAATCTGGCTAATCTGGCACACAGTGGACCCAGGTCCGAGGTGTCCGTGTGCGGTTGTAGATTAGCTGGAGGGCGAGCTGGGCTGCTCAGTCATTACTGGGGGCAACAGCAGCAGGATTCACATCAGCGGTCAGTGTTTGACTCCTGCATGCTGCGCAGGAGAGCAGGATCTGCCATCAGAGCTGGCAAGAGGGACTGGGGCTGGCTCAGCCTGGCAGGAGGCAGGATGATGCTCATGAGACTTGGCTAGAGGATGCTTTTAAATCCAGTGTAGGCTGCTGCCTAGTGGGCTCAGCCCACAGCCACCTGCAAACCTGCAGAGGAGAGGGCTGCATCTCTCAGCTATCCTTGCAGCCTCCCTGCTTTGTTACAGCTCCCCCTTTCCGGCTTGTTCCCTCTCACCTGGTGCCCTTTCTGAAGCAGTGGCAGTGAATCACACACTCCTCAGTAACTTCTCAGCAGGTGCTGCTGGCTCAGGTGGTGACAGAGACTACATGGACTCTCCTGTTCCTCTCAAAAATCACAGTGGGGACAGGGAAGGACTCTTGGAAATGCTCTGGATGCATCTGTAGCACCAGCTTGTGCCATGCTCACCTCTGGTATGACCCACCCCCAGGTCGCTCCCAAGAGAACCCACATGTATCACTCAAGGCAGGTGACAAAACTCTTTAAAAGTGCCTTGGGGGTTGAAGGTGGAGCCCTGTTACTACTGTGAACTGCAAGATGAGGACCCATTCATCTTCAGACCCTTCCCTTGGGTATGGGGGAGAGAAGAGTCTGCTCAGGGAGGGCAGTGGCTTCCCAGCCCAAGGCTTGGTGATAACACTGTGGGGGATGCCTGTGGTGTATCTACCAGCAAGCCCAGGGAAATCCTCCCCAGTGTGTGTGGTCTGGGGAGGGGTGTGGGGAGGAGAGGGCTCTGCTCTGGAGCATGAGCTACCCTGGGCTTGCTCTTTTCACCATCTCCAAATCTGTGAAGGGATAAATGGCATGGCTCTGTTTCCTCACCCACTCCCTTCTCCTCTCCTTCCGAGCCTGTTGCATGTTTTTATCAATTTGGAGTGTTTGTCTGAGTGACAGTTCAAATGTCTCTTTATCCCATGCTGTGGGTATGCTGGAAGGCAAACAGACATGATCCTGGGATGTGGACATCAGTGATGACCCATGGATTATCCTGGGTGTGTATTTATGTGTATTTTTCCTCCTGTACCCCTCTGTGTGTACCCTTCATCTTCCTTTATGATTTAATTTCTTTTGCCTCTCCTTGCTGACCCGTTTCTCCCTCCTGTCTCACCCTCTCCCTCTCTCTCCTGCCCTCCTCCTCATTCTCTTTTTCTCATTTGACATGCATGAATAAATTCAATTGCATTTTTCCCTGTTCCCCCTGAAGGGGCTTGTTGGTGAATTGCAGGCATCTGAAATAATATAATGCTCAGATTCATCATTTCGGGGACAGAATTGAAGTTCTTCTTCTCAGGAAGGAATAACAGATGCTTTTTAGGAGGAGAGGGAGTGGTGTGTCTTGTGGCTGGTGAGGAGGAAGCCAAGGGGGATTAACCTTGGCAGCCCAGGGTAGACTTGCTAGCACGAGGGGACTAGAAGCACACGCTCTGGTGTATGTAGAAATGGGGAAGGCATACATAGGTGTGTGTATATGGGAGTGTGAGTACCTGTGGTTGCTTGCATATTTGCTATGTGTGGTGCCTGTGGTGTATTTAGGGTGGAGTAACATCTCTTAGGGGGCTGCCAATTGGTTGAGGTAGGAGATGTCTCAGAAGTTTGCCAGCAGCTTGGCACCCAACCATTCAGAGAGATTATCTAGAGAGCTGTCTGGGCATCCACCTCAGCCAGCTTTGGGGATGATTATGTGGCTCTGGTATCACCCCAAACTCTGCTGTGACTCTGGGGACATGCCCAGTGCCACATCCCCATCACACGAAGCTGGTGTGTCATGAAATCATGTCTATCCTGCACTTCAAGGGGCTTCCTGATGTGGATGGGCACTTGCTGTCTTCCTGCTCCTACATGGGAGCCCTTAACCACAACCATGTTTAGTAATGAATGTGGCTGGAGGTAGTGTCCTACATGGCTTTGGTACAAATAGGCTCTAACCACTGATAGGGAGAGGTCTGGCCACCACAAACATTTATTATTCTCAAATAAAATATCTTTCCAGGTTGTGGAAGATGCATGGGTTCACCATCTGGCTGCAGCCCTGGTCAGAAGCTATGAAAAAAGAAAGGCTGAACTTGCCCAAAGAAGGGCTCTTTTTGACGGGGGTTGTTGATTAGGTAACTTTTGATGCTCACAATATTCCTGTCATTTATAACACTGTTCCCTTTTCATTTTTCTTAGCACTCTTTGTGCACCCTGAGATTCCTCTGGGTTTGCCTTTCAGGAGAGGAAACAAGATTAGACACTTTATAAAACACAAAAGTGCTATGCTAAAAGTGGACAGCAGCTGTTGTCTTTGCTCCAAAGACTTTTAAGGGCCTCACAAGAGACAGTGGCAATGCCAACCACCTTGTTCAGGCTCCAGGGAACTCGTCTTATGTGATGGAAATGGCCAGGGGCTCCTTGGCTTCTGCCTGCTGCTGCTGGCACAGCAAAGCCAAGCCACACAGAGATGGATGGCAGAGGAAAGGATGTGTACTGGGCAATTTTTACCCTAGATGGTGAACACATGTGAGCTACCTTGAGGTGAAAACAGAGATGTTCTGGCTTTACTGGAGGGTGTGCTTTCTCCATTGCCTTCCTGAAGAGAGTTAATGTTCAGGGCCTGTTTCGCAGTATGATTAAAGTGCTTGATTTCCCAGCCATTTTTAGGTCAGATGTGTTAATTGCCCTGACCCAGCTATTTTAGCTGTGCACACAAAATCTGTGACAGCTGGCACAGACGTTGAATTGGTGGGGAAGGGATGGAGAAGGCTTTGGGTATCCCTGAGAAGCAGAGGAGCTTCTGGGCTGCAGTGCACGTTGTACCACACCCCACCTGGGAGTTAGGCATTTTTTAGCTGCTTATTTACAATATATGCCCATGGCAGAAGCAAGAGTATCTCCATTTCTCATAACATCTGAGGTTTTATTGGTCTGAACAGGCAATACCTATTAAGAACCTTGACAGTGTGATGGCTTCATGTAGTGTCTCTTTCTCAGAGCTGACTTGGGGATCCTCAGCAGGAAGGTAGAAGGTCAGTGCTCCAAGGGTGAGGAGCCTGTGCTGGCATGGGGCTAGGCTGCTCAGCCATGGGATGGGACTAGTGGGGCAGATGGATGGGCTGGTCCTCCACTGGAGGGGGCTTGGGGCAGCTGTACTCTTCTAGCCCCTCATTAGTGGGACACCTGTGTATTATCCATCCCTCCAGCTTCACAAAATGCAGTAGGAAACTAACTTCCAGTGAGCTGTTCCCATGCCTTGAGTTCCTGTAACAGATTTGGGAGTAGGATGGGGGGAGAGGTGGGATTGGTTTTGAGGGAGGGACTTTTTGGTGGGGTTGTTAGGTTGGTTTTTTAACTCTTCCCAATTCTCTGTTTGGTCTGTGACCTGTGGAGGGACATATGCTCACAAGTTCAGGGCAAGGCAAGCACATTGAAGTCAGTGTCCATTAGAAAAAGAAGGGTGGGTGGGCTGAAGGCAGGGGAGGATCTGCTATCCTGAGACTCCACCATGGATGTGGGTGTGTGATGGTGTACAAGGAGATTTCTTCCTTTCCTCTGGTGTTGCTAGAATTCCTGCCTTACGCACCTCTAATTGTAGGTTTCCCCTAAAGACATTTGGTGTCACTGTAAGGACGGCGTTTCACTCCCTCTCTGCCTGTACAGTTATTCTCTCTCTCTCACTGTGCAGTTCACTCCATAAGCCGTTGGTAACATACCATAAGACACAGATAGAGAGACACAGACAGACAGAAACCCCATGGCAGCCCTTCCTCCTCGCTTTCCCACCATGGAATAACTAAACTTGCCCCCACCCACACTTCCATCACCTCCTAGCACCCCACGATTATTTTGACCCTCTGGTCTTTTTGGAAGGAAGATTCTGTCACTTCTTAACACCACCTGCCTGGAAAAACACACACACACACACACACACACACACACACACACACACACAGAGCCCCCCAAACCCAGGGAGGAAGAGGTCTTTTTTTTCCCTCTTTTCTTTTGCTCTGACTCCAGAGCTTCAGACTCCAAGCCTGAGCAGCCACAATTTCTTACCATGTATTCTCCTTTTAAAACATCTCCTTCCTGCACACGCTCAGTCCTTGCAGCCACGATCTAACACAACTCCCCGCTTCTCGCCTGCAGGTTCTTTGCTCCCCATCACTCAGCTGATCCTGATCTTTTTTCTCCTATTTTTCCCCTCCCTGGGAGCTGAGGTGTGTGTGTCTGTGTGTGAGTGTGCCTGTGTGCAAGGGGGGGAGGTGGGGGGGGGCTTTTTTTTCTTAGTGGGGGAATTTTTTCAAAGCGTCTTCGTTATTATTTTATTTTGCTTCTCTGACTTGGACACTTCTCCCTTGGAGATTTCTTTTCCATGCAAAGGTAGGTGAGACGCATGCACACCTGGCTAACCTTATGTCTGTCTCGTTTCGCTTGGTTTTGTTGTCCTTTTAATAGAAAACTTGCGCCCACCCATGTACCTGCATCATTCCTGTTTTGTTTCATACCTGTTTCCTCTCTGGTGAAGTAAAGGGTAGACATGTCTGTAATGTTAATAATTCTGTCTTCCCAGAGAGGAAAGTTATTTCTCTGTGCATGTCCAGCTGTACATGTATGTCCGTGTATGGTGCCCATGTATGTGAGACTGCCTCTGTTTACCCAACAAGTAGCAATAATTGATTTTGGTGTGTGTTTTGGGCAGGGGTGGTGGTGGAAAGGGAACAACTGTGTGTCCAGCAATTCACGTCAATGAGCGATTGCAGCAGGAATGTTTTTCTCACACATATTCAGCAGCTCTTTGTACATGACTATAAATGATACAAGGAGTGTGAATAATTCCAGGAATTTCAAATATAGCTCTGGTTAGTTCGTACTGTTATGATGGGGAAGGATGGTGGGAAAGAGGAAGGGTTACAAAATCTCCTCCCTGGAGAGGTACCTGTCTGAGACTTGTTTATATTTAACTTTTCTTAAAATCATCTCACTGTTTAGGGTCTTCGTGGGTTTGGGGTATTTTTTTCTTTGCAAAGCAAGAGTTAGGTCTTTGATTGAGGTTTCATAAATTGTCTTTTCTTGTTTTGTTTAGATTATTACTGCATTTCAATTGTGTGTGCAACATCCAAAGTGTCTGAAAAGGGACAGGGAATAGAATGTACTTTAATATAGCAAATGCATCATCTTCTGTACATCACTGAAAGCTGTTGGCTGGAGTCGGGGGGAGAGATATAGAAGAATTAAAAAGAAGAGAACTAGAAATAATGTCAGGCAGTTTTGACTAGCAATTATCTGGTAAATTTTATGCCAATACCAGTTTTTGTAACACTCTTGATGGATACCTTTTGCTTCTTGGAAACAGCAGCTGTGTGAAAAGTACCAAGGGTTTGAAAAAAAAAAAAAAACAGAAAGAAAGAAAAAAACAACATGCATCATTTCCCTGCAAATTATTACAAAGAAAAATGGTAAACATGAAAAAGCAGAACTTACTCTGCATTTTCTTTCTGCTAACAGGAAGCGTTTTTCTCATTGATCTGGGTGTTGCTAGTGGTTCTGTATCTCTGTCGCTTAGAAGACTGCTATGTTAATTGTCAGTTGTTTCTGTGTGCTATTGCAGAGCTCTTGGTCTTAAATTGGGGCTGATGATTGAGGATTTATTATTTCAGAAGAAGGAAGGGGTCTGCTGACCCTCCACCCCTCTCACCCCGTTGATGTTTCACTCCAACATGTAAACTTCTTTATCAGTGGAAGGAAATCTGCAAGCTCATTATCTTCTCAACACCCTACCTCCAAAGAAACTTTTATTTCAAAGCATTGGAAGGGAATTCAAGACCCCTGTTTCTGCCTCCCTTCTCCTTTATATTTTAAGGACACCTTCTGACTGTCTGTCCCCCACCCAGCATTGCCCCATCCCTCAGGTCTGGGCAGGAGCACCGCCTCAGGCAGAAGGCAGCTGCCCACTGCTTGCAAGGGCTTATGCTGCTGGACTGAAAGCATTTGTTTCTGTCTCTATTAAATAACATAATAGTTTCATGCGATTGATATCAAATCTGATCTTCCTGAGAATGGCAGCTGTTCAAGCCTGTCGGTGAATGTCCAGTGCCATGATCTTCTCCCCAGGGGAGGCAGGCAGGGATCGAATCTGGGCATTGTGCTGGATTCCCTGCTCACTGGCAGGGTGTTTGCACTGGGCTGGCTGGGAGAGGGTGCAGTGTCTGTCCAGGAAAGCCTTGGCCCTGGCTGTAGGAGTAAGGTGGGGAAAAGCAATTTTCCTGCAGATCTCATGGGAAGGTGTGTGCCTGAGCACTGGCCACCTCAATGCACCAGCAGATGCACATGTACCTTGCCAGAAGACCTGCTGGTGAATATCTCAGAGAGTCAGGGGTACGAGGAAGGAGCTTTGGTCTGCCACGTCTAAGGTGTTTGCCTCGGGAAGCCTGGATCAGTCTGACATTCCCTATCATAAAGGGGGTGTTATACCAACATGTCTCATGTTTTGTCTTATAAAATCTCCCTTTGTTGCTGCCTCAGAAGTGTTTTCAGGCAGTGGACCTGGCTGGAGCAGGGCCAGAACAGCCACAGCTATCAAGGGAGTGAGGGGAAGCGTCACAGGATGGGGGATGCTGATTCACAAGGAGCTCACTGCTTGCCTGTAGGTGTTTCTGGGTAGGCACAGTGGGCTTGGTTGGGATATGAGGAGACTGGTTGCGCTGCTTGGGGTGTATCAAGGTGCACCCATGATGCCAGGCAAGCTTTCCTGTGTCCCCACCTTTGTCCCCACCAAGAGCAGAACCTTCCTCACTGGTTCAGCCCTGGCCATCCTCAAAGCACTCGTAACACACCTTGTGCCCCAGGCTGCAGCTCTGGCTTCTACTCTATTTCTGTCTCCCTCCCTCCCTCCCTCCCTCCCTTCCTTCCTTCCTTCCTTCCTTCCTTC